AGGAGGAGGAGGAGGAGAGGAGGAGGGGAGGAGGAGGAGGAGGAGGAGGAGGAGGAGGAGGAGGAGGAGGAGGAGGGGAGGAGGAGGAGTAAGGAGGGAGGAGGAGGGGGAGGGGGAGGGGGAGGAGGAGGAGGAGGAGGAGGAGAGGAGGAGGAGGAGGAGGAGGAGGAGGAGGGAGGAGAAGGAGGAGGAGGGGGAGGAGGAGGAAGAGGACCGCCCCTCGTGCGCCACATCACGACTCGACGGCTGGAGGTGCGGAGGACCCACCGCCGTAGGGGGAACGCGCGAGGCACCTACAGACGTACCGTGCGAGCCCGGCAGACTGCCTGACGCGACTGCTCCTCCTCCTCCTCCTCCTCCTCCTCCTCCACCTCCTCCTCCTCCTCCTCGCCTGACGCGATGGTTGGCTGCCTCGACGCTCGGGTGCGCAGCTGCGCCATCGCGCGCAGCCCGGTCGGCAAACTTGTTACCGAGGCGTGGGAGGCTGGCATCGTCAGACCGCGCGTCGTCTCTCACGAGTGCGTGGCCTTGGACCTTCTCGGCAGCAGCCTCCCCCCCACACACGTCGCCCACCCGCTACCACACTGTGAGCCAGAGGTCATCACAGGGACACATGCTGTCGGTGATTGCCTCCCTGCCTTCGCCGAAGGAGGAGACCGCCAGGTGGCAGCGGGCCAAGCGAGACGTGTGAGAGGCACATCAGCAAGCAAACAAAGTTCGGCCACTTCCGAGTCTTGGAGGAGTCCTGGGACAGGCCCGCAACTGGTGGTCGTGAGGTCGAGGCCGCTGCCAACGGTCTGGATGACGGACCTCCCTGCCCTCGTGAGGCGGGCATCGCGCGCAAGAACGGATCCGCAGCAACGGTCACTAAACGCTTCTCCCTCCAGATGGCCTCCGAGGGACCTGACAATGAAATGAACTCTGAGATCGAGGGCAAGCGATGAGCACCAGGCGACAGGGTCAGGCAGCATGCCGTGGCTCCACAATGCCGAGTTCCCGTTGGGACTAGCACCCTCACGCAGGGAAAGGGAGCAGAGAGTAGTCGCGCCTGACGCCCAATGTGCGAGGACAATCCCCCCAACACAAGTGACCCACCGTCGCCGCCTCGAGGCTGCACAGCTCCCAAATGGTGCTGTCATTTAGGCCGGCCTTAAACTTGAGCTCTTGGCCTCAGAAGCCTTTGGCTTCTAGGCATCTGACGGTCGCCTGGTGCACCGCCGCACACGCCTCCGTAGGGCGGACGGAACAGATGAGGAAGAGGAGGAGGAGGAGGAAGAGGCAGAGGAAGGGAAGGAGGAGGAGGACGACGAGGAGAGGAGGAGGAGAAGGACGAAGAGGAGGAGGAGGAGGAGGAGGAAGACAAGGAAGCAGGAGTAGAAGGAGGAGGCAGGACATAGACGGAGGAGTGAGGAGGAGGCCCCCAGGAAGCCCCCAAAAGACCCCCAGACGCCTCCGTATTGCGAGCCGTGAAGCCAACTGCACTGCACTCCGCGCATACAGCCTTACTCTTCCTCGTGAAGTGCTCACTATCTTGCTCGGCGCTAATGTGCTGCTGCCGCGCGAGCTGTTTAGTGCGCGCTGCGAACGTCGACAGCCTCTTCACCCGTTTCGACTCATCTGCCACATCTTTCGCGGTGATGCCTCGCTGATCACAGCTTCCGCACACCACTCTTGCTCCTTTCGTCTTCCGGTGGTCCTCCACTTGGCTGCGGGTCGAAAAGCCGACCTCCCAGAAGGACGCCCCGCACCCGGGTGCACAGCACGCAAGGCGCTCGCAAAACACGCCCCAGACCACCGGCATCACGCAAACATTTGGACCCCCTACGTATCTGCCACCACCCGCGCGCGACACCGCACCCTCACACAAGACGCCGCTGGCCACAAACTCCTGGCCTCGCAACACTCACAGAAGGGGTCGGCGGATGTGGCGTAAGCCTGTAGAATCATCTCCACCACCGCCAGAAACCACCGCACCATCACCACCACCGCCACCACCACCACCGCCACAACCTGCCACCACAACCACCACAACCACCAACGCTACCAACACCACCAACCACCACACCACCACCACCACCACCACCACCACCGCCACCACCACCACCGCCACAACCATCACCACCACCACCACAGCCTACCACCACCACCACCACCTCAGAGAGGCCCCAAGAAGACGCCCAAGAGGCGCCCAGGAGGCTGCACAAATGCCCTTCAGGGGCCCCCGAGAGCCCTCCGACGAGACCCCAAGAGGCATCCATTAGGACACTGACCCAGAACGAAGGCACGGTGGCGGAGCGTCGTCGTCTTCGTCATCGTCGTCGCCGTCGTCCTCGCCGACGCTCCCCGCCGCCGCCGCCCGCCGCCGCAGGCGCCAGCGCCGGCCCAGAAAAGGATGTCGTCGCCCCCGCCGCCGCCAGCCAGCCGCCGCCGACGCAGGCGCCGGCCCGAGGAAAGAGAGAGAAGAAAAAAGGGGGGGATGGTTTGAAACCCCCCCTCCCCCCTCCGTCACGGGAGCGGGGGGGGGGTTCGAACCCCCCCCCCTCCATCCATGGGGGTGGGGGGGTCCGGTTCCAAACGCCCCGTCCCCTCCAAGCGACCACAGAACGCGCTCTTTCCTCCCTATCAACCTCTTTACTTACTCATGATCCCATTTTCATGTGCTCCCACCTACTCCTCCCATTACTCTGTCACCGCCTCACTCCGTCTTCCTCCTCAGCTTGCTCCTCCTCTCCTCCATTCTCCATCCTCTCCTATCCTCCTTCACTTTTCCTTCGAAACAGCTCCTCCCTATCGCATCCCCGAGCGTGTTGGCAGGGCGGGCCAGGCGTTTTAACTCAGATTATGAAAACTGAAGCTTGAAATTCAAAACGGCTTCAAGGATGGAAGGGGGGGTGTTTTCAAAACGTTGCTCTCGCATGGGCGCCACGCACATTCGTCGTACGAAATAGTCTGCAACAATTTCACGCATGGAGGGTGGGTGCTTTCCAACATGTGGTGCTCGCCTTAACGCTGCGCACATTCGTTTCAAATGTTTACCAGGGTTTCACGGGTGGAGCGGTAGTGAATTTCAACGTGCAGCTCTCGCCCTAGCACCGTGCACATTCGTCTGAAACGTTCGCACCAGATTCGCGGAGGTGAGGGGAGTAGTTTTCAACACGGTGGCCTCGCCTTAAAGTCGAACATATTCTTTGTGTTTATAAGTTTGTTCTAGCTTCACAGATGGAGGGCACCCCCTTTTTTGAATGAGGCTGTCGCCCAGCGCACGCAGTCGCTTTCTTATGCAACCTCTCGCAGGATGGAGGATTACTCTTTTTCAAAAAAGAGATTTCTCGTCTGAGACATCGCACAATTCAAAGACCCCAAACTTCTGCGCTCGTAGCGCTGAACGGATCCATCGCGGCATAGTTTCGCAAAGAAGCTGTCATTTCGAACTTCCCCGAAGTTGGTGACCGCAAGGGCGAATCTATGCAACAGTTCCACGGGTGGGGTGGGTCCCTCTTCGACAGCGGGGATATCGCTGGACACCATGTTGAACCGTTCGATCTGCTTGGCGGTCCTGACTGCGCGCCAGAAACGCGCCTTTTCAAATTGGGGCCATCACCAAAACGGCATCCCAACCGGGCTGGTCTTTTGGGACTTGGGACGGGAGGGTGTAGTGCAGCGTCGCTAAGCATATTTGAATTACTCTGGTCCTCCTCCTCCTCCTCCTCCTCCTCCTCCTCCTCCAACTCCCTCCCTCCCTCCCTCCCTCCATCCATTCTCCTCCTCCTCCTCCTCCTCCTCCTCCTCCTCCTCCCCCTCCTCCTCGCTCCATCCTCCTCCTCCTTCTCATATTCCTCCTCCTCCTCCTCCTCCTCCTCGTCCTTCACCCCCAGATCGAGCGGCATCGCCGATGCATCGGCGATATGGCGGGGTCCTCCGAACCCATGGACTCGAACCCCACTCTGGGCGGCATGAATCCGAGTGCCTCTGGCCGGGGGGTTCAGATGGGGGCATATGCAGCTGCGAAGGACATCCCCCCCGCCCGCCCCTCCCCACTCCTGAGGAGAACAGGCAGCATCAGCATAAACTCCTGGAGGTCCGCGCGGACTTCTTGGATCGGCGCTGGACCACCCTCCCTGGCGCGCGGACGCGCAGGGGGCGGCGCCTGAGGCGTCGCCCAGGGGAGCCCAGCGCCGATCCAGGAAATCCGCGCGGATCTCCAAAAATGTATCTTTATGCTGACTTTCGCTCTTCGAACTCCGTTCCCCCCCTCCCGATATCCTCTCCCTCCACTTCCGTTCGCGCAGCGGTGGTTCTGATCATACTCGGTCTGCTCCGCCGCCAGGCGCGGAAACACCTCCAAGCCAATGCCACGCTGTGCTCCTACATCCAGCCCCGCCAGGCAGAGCGGACACGAATGGTCGCCTGCAGTCAGGGAGTGGATGTCCCCTGGGCCACAGTGTTGAGGAGCGTGGCACAGGAGGAACAGGCAGCAACCGCGCGGGTAGGCGTCAAGACGACGCCAAAATTGCTCAACGTCCTGTTTGCAAAACTGCTCGGCACTGGGACTCCCTGTCGGCTCTCGTGCGTCGCCTCTCACTTTGGTGGACAGCCCATGTCACATCCACGATGCGGCTGAAGACCTCGATCTCGCCCGCTGCAGCAACCGCAACTCATCGTGGGGTAGCCAGCTCCCCAGACTCAAGTCTGCTGGGCTGCCTGTGCCTTAAAGCGTTTTCTGTAGAGATTCGCTCGACCACTCTGTCGGAAAGTAAATCCGTGTGCACCCTACTCTGAGGTAGCTCAGGACGCACATCGTGAGTCGAATGTACTGTCAACGAAGGTTGAGCTAAGACGACAGGGAGAAACCCGACAGCGAAGACTGGAACATCTGTGTATGGCCACTGTATGACGCCAGAGCCGCTGGAATATCTATAGATGGCCACTGTACCATGCCAGACCCGATTAACTCGAATGTGGAGCGCACCCCGTCAAGAGACCGAGCTCTGACACCCTCCTCAAATCTTCTGGCTCTTCGTCAGGCTGAACGGGAGCGGGAGCACATTGGGGCACATCCCAGGGAGGCAGGTGACGGTGCCCGGCTCGATCAGGGTACCTGCGGCACCCTCGTTACGACCACCCGCCCAACCCTCCCCGTCAGCAGGGGTAAGACACGAACATGGAGAGGAGTAGGACGCAAGAGGAGCGGGAAGCAGAGGCAGGAGCGGCAGGAGCGGAGGTGCGACTGCGAGTCAAGCTAGCCAGCTTGACGGGGCCATCGGGACCCGCCCGCTCTGGTTGATGGACAAGATCCTGCACCACCCGCGCGACTGTGGTGACAGCACAGACTTCGTCGCGCCCCCTGCCCCCCATTCAGTCGGGCCCTTTCAGAAGTGCGGCGGGACTTCTCAGAAGCCCTCTGAGAAGTGTTCCGAGTCTGCGGGGATGGCTCGGACAACTTCTCATAACGCCCGCCCCCTCTCATCTCCCCCCAGGCTGACCGACGAGAAATGGAAGAAACATGCTGCTCGTTGGCGCAACAGAAGGCATGAACACACTGATGCACTCGAAAATAAAGTCCACGAGAAGCATTGCCGCAACGTCCGGATTACAATTGGAGATCCTCCCCACAAACGTGCTCTCAAGGAACCCCAATTTGCTCGACTACAAATCTTCTGGGGGCGACGCTCAAAGCAGCAAGCGGAGGACAAACACATGCAAAGACAAAGCACAATGTGTGGTGATCTCCAGGATTGGCGATTGAGAAGACACAGGGCTCAGTAGGGCGGGAACGGAGCTTTCAGGAACATACTGTGCGGGGCTGAACCTATGGCGACATTTCGCCCGCTCCGCCTGTTCTGGCACGGACCCGATTCCGATGATTCGGCGAGCAATATGCGCCGCGCCCAGGTTGAGCTAAGGTGGTCTAAAGAGTTCTTTCTTCTTCCAAAAACCTTCTTCCTTTCGGGGAGGGGTACCCTCCAGGTCTACTCCCTGAGGTTATTTTGGGCGGGCCGAGATCGGTCAGAGCGTCCAAGATGGCCCATGAAGGCTCCAAGAGGGCCGCCGATGCTCCCAAATGACCCCAGGGCGGCTCACCATAGCCGACCACAGTTCAAGATAGCTTCCGACATGCCCGAAAGAAGCCCGACGAGGGACACAAGACGGTTTCAAGAGCTCCCGGAGCCCCCTCCGAACCCCCCAAAAAGCGCAATCCCTTCAAACCCTAAGGAAAAGCAACGCGTTGTTTACTTCTCGCCTTTTCGCTTCCGATGCGCTTTTGAGGCCTCAAGATGGCCCAAGAAAGCCCCAGGAGGGGCCCAAGAGACCCCCAAAACGGCCCCAAGAGCGCCCAAGATCGGCACAATAGTCTCCTGAGAGTGCCCCAAGAGGCAATTCTGATGGCCCCAGTGGAGGAAGCAAATTGGGACCCCCCCCCTTTGATCGATGGCTTCCAAGATGGCTCCGAGAGGCCCTCCAGGGCTCCCGAGGGACCCCCAAGAGGGCTCCAACAAGCTACAAGAGTACCCCAAGATCCCTAAAAGAGTCCTAAGATGGCACCAAGAGTCGATTTTGAGGGCTCTGTCATCGTCCTCGCTGTCCTCCTCCTCCTCCTCCTCCTCCTCATCCTCCTCGTCCTCGTCCTTTCCTTTTGCTCCTCTTCCTCGTCGTCGTGGTCGTCGTCGCATTTCTCCCCCCTTCCTTTTCCTTATGAATAACTCCTCCCTGTAGCACCCCGAGGCCAGTCGGAAGGGCGGGCCGGGCGTTTCGCCTGAGACTTCCTTACCATGTATGATCCTGCAGCTTACAGGTTGGCAACAGTTTCAAAGATGGAGGGTGGGTTGCTTCCAAAGTGTGGCTCTTAGCTTCGCTGAGCTTTAGCATAGTAGAGCACAGCATATCATAGCATAGCGTAGCATAGCATAGCGCAGCACAGCATTCATAGTGCGTAATAAGACGAAGCCAAGACGAGGATAAAATCGAGTGAGGACACATCGGGAATCTCTGAGATCTGGCGGCTCTGGAGGATGCCTCGGGAGCCGCGGCCTTCTCAGAACGGTCTGGAACGCCCTCAGAGCGTTCCGGAACGCTCGGAACGGGTTTATCCTCGTCCTAGCCCCGTCCGGTATAAACTGCCCCCTCGGAACAAAGGGGGACCCCTTCCTCGTCGACGTCCACCCGGAAGTCCAGCACCAGCTCCCAAGACGCCAACAAGAGTCCCCAAAGAATGCCCAAGAAGCCCACGACGCCTCCCTCAAACGTGAACTCCCCGCCTCTTCTGGGGGTCGCCAGAATGGCGTAAGCCTCTCGAGTAAACTCCCACCTCGGAACAGGAGGTGTCCCCCTGCCTCGTCAACGTCAACGCGGAAGTCCAGCACCAGCTCCCAAGACGCCCACCCTTCGAATCTCATGGTATCGCAAAAAATCCCCCCCCCAGGAACAAGAGGGGCCCCCCTTCCCCGTCGACGTCCACGCAGAAGTCCAGCACCAGCTCGAAAACTCCCATCCTTCCTCTCTCATGGTGTCGCAGCGATTTCTCCCCCACCTGGAAGGGCTCGAGCTAAACAGTGTTTGTCGTGTTCGTTTTGTTCCCTACCTAGGCTCTGCCTAGAAGGGTTCTTACTCTCTTGGCTTAAAAGGCCGGGCAGTAGGAACCGGCCCAGGCGGTTCCCCCAGTATCCGCCCCACGGTTGGTTCCCCAAGTTACGTCCCCTTAGCTTAGCGTTGCTTATCTCATCTTAGCTTGGCTTATTTAATATCGGCTTAGCTTAGCTTCATCTTAGCTCAGGATTATCTTAGCTTAGCTTAATCCATCTTAGCTTCGCTTATTTCATCTTAGCGTAGCTTCATCTTAGCTCGTGTGTGCCAACCGCGTTGCCATATTAGTTTTCTGTTCGGGTAATTAGCATGGGTGTAATTCCCTACCTAGGCTATGCCTAGAAGGTTAGCTCAGCTTAGCTTAGCTTAACTTACTTTTGCTTAGCTTAGCATAGCGCAGCGCTGCATTAGCATAGCATAACATGGTATACTATAGCCAAGCATAGCATACCATAGCATAGCATAGCATATCATAGCATATCATAACATAGTATAGCGCAGCTTAGCATACCATATCATAGCATAGCTTAGCATAGCACGGCGCAGCATGAAATATCATAGCTTAGCAAATCATATCATATCATAGCATATCATAGCATAACGCAGCATATCATAGCATATCATAGCATAACATAGCATAGCGCAGCATAGCATGGCATGGCATGGCATAGCATAGCATAGCAACTAATGCTGCTTTCCTAGGGGCTCCAACTTCTAGGTAGGGTCGCACTAGGGTAATTGGGCAACATGCTTCCTCTCCCTTGATCGTCCTCCACAAGCCTATGAGGAGGGAGCTTGGAGGGAGGGTGTTCCGTCCAACATCACTGACCAGGCACGAACAGGCCCTCCAAGGCCACCCCTTTTGCTCCAAGAGAGCTCGCTGTTCCTCCTGGTTGCCCGCTCTGCTTCACTACATGTGCCTCTTCGTTCCTTGCCCCGTTTACTCTCATGGGCAAGATTTCTGTTTGAATGGGCTGATAGGGATACGCGAAGGATGAAGAATAAGCATGAGATTCGTCGGAGTGGGAGGAGGAGGAGAAAGCAAGGCAAGGCAAGGCAAAGCAAGGCAAGGCAAGGCAAGGCAAGACAAGACGCATCGGGAGCTGGGTGCGTCTCTGCTGGCCTCGAAGAGGTCAGAAGCCAGGAGGAGGAGGAGGAGGAGGAGGAGGAGGAGGAAGAAGAGGAGAGGGGAGGCTTTGGATTGGTGGTCGTAAACGACAACCCCCACGCGCCATCTGAGCTCTGGATTCGGAACTCCGTCACGTTCTGCGAGTCCTTGAGCATCGTTTAACCAAGCCCCATCCCCATGGGCGTGGCCTGGGCCCCACTGGCCGACTTACTCCCCTAGATGGGGACATCGGCTGTTTCCACCGGGTTTCGAGGGGTATGTCCCCAACTAAAGTAACGAGATGGTGGGGGTCTGGATAGGGATGAGGATGGGGATGGGCGTCGGTTGAACGATACCGAGTCCTGGTTCCCGACCCGCAGAACCCCGCGCCCCCCCGAGTAGTCCAGGTGGAAGTTCCGAGGGCACACCCCGCCGCAGGGCACCGCCTGGACCTTGGACACGCGGCCGGTGCCCTCGTCCACTCGGAACACCACGATGTGGTTGTCGGTCCGGGTCGACGCGTAGACGTTGCGCCCGTCCGCCGAGGCGAGGACGTGGGAGTTGCCCGCGTGGTGCGCGCGGCAGCAGGCCATGCCGTCTGGCAGGGCGTACAGGCTCTGCTTGACGGTCAGCCTGCCCTCCTGGGCGCTCCAGTCGCAGACCACAAGGTTGCCGTCCAGCTCGCAGAGCACGTACACCCACCGGCCGCCGGGGTGGAAGTCCAGGTGCCTGGGCCCCGCACCTTCTGGCAGCCTCAGGTGCCGCGAGCTGTTGGCCGCCCCGGAGAGGGCGCCAGCGGCGGCGTCGAACGCGTACACCCAGACGCGGTCCGCCCCCAGGTCGCAGACCAGCGCCCACCTCTGGGGAGACAAACAAGTACCGATACCGGCACTCCCGGACCTCTCCTGGGGTGCGTTCTGACCAGGCCTTCGAGGCGAAGCCGGCGGTGGTAACGAGGGCCGCCCAGGAGGCCCAAGAGGAGGAGAACGAGCGAAGGGAGGAGGTATGGGTGCCGTTTCCTCCTCTGCACCTCTCCGCGGCCGGGTCTAGCCGGACCTGGTGCGGGTGGCAGCACTCCTGGCGGTCCGCCAGCGCCGGGCTGAGCGGCACGCCGCCGTGGAGCTTGGAGTCCGTGGCCTCCCCGAGGGAGCCGTCCTCCAGGATGGGCAGCACGCAGACCACGCCGTTGGAGTAGTTGGCCACCAGCGCCCACCGGCCGCACCGCGACAGCTCCAGGAAGGCGCCGTTGCCCATGGCTCGAGTATTAGATCGACTGCAAGCCTGATCTGCCCAAAGTTGCTGATTCGTCGAACCTACGAAACGTGCGCAGAACGCTTCGCAGATCTACGAAAGCCATTCTGCGCACTTGTCATAGAATCGACGACCACATCTTCTGGGGCACATCAGCTCCGCAGTCGCTCTCCTACTCGAATTGTGTCGGCGCTGCTCGCCAGGCTCAGCTGGCCATCCGCCGCCACGGCGAAGGCCTGGGCCCGGCCGCCCCCACAGCCATAGAGCATGCCGTTGCGCGGGTGGCGCGCCAGCCAGCCTGGGCGGCATAAAACATCCACTCCAAGGAGGAGGATCGAGGAGGATAGAGGACAGGGTGCAGCGATGAGGATCGAGGAGGATAGGGGATGGAGGACGGGGGAGGATAGAGGATAGTAGAGTGCATGGAGGAGGATGGAGGATAGAGGATAGAGCAAAGAGGAGGACAGAAGATGACGGAGACTAGGGATCGTTTTTTTTTATCGGCGATGGCCCGGGTTATCTGGTGCGGGGAGGAGGGGGCCGGCCGATAACCTAACCTTCGCGCTGTGGGCAGCCCTGCGTATGCCCGCGCCCCCCCACCCCGGACCTACACAACCGGCAAGGTTGGGTTATCCTGGGGGGGGGGCCGGGGGGGAGGGCAAGCCCGAGAACCCGCGTTGTCGCCAGACCCTAAAAAAACGCAGCCTCCCAGAGAGGAGGACGAGCCCACCCTGAGGGTCCCCCTGGGCCCGCCCGAACCTGGGCCCAGGATCGGTGCGTACGCCCTCCTGGTTCGGCCCGTCCGTGGTGGAACAGTGTGTGGGGGGGGCTCAGAAATATACACCACCACCACCACCTCCCTCCCCCCCTCCCTCTCGCTGGAAAGAGGAGAGAGGAGGAGGAATCGACGTGGTGGTGGTGGTGGTGGTGGTGGTGGTGGTGGTGGTGGTGGTGGTGGTGTATATTCTTTGGGCCCCCAACGTGTGGAGGGAGCTGGGAGCCGGGAAGCGGGAAGCGGGAAGCAAGAACCAGGGACCGGAGACCGAGAGCCCAGAGAACCCAGGCCTCGGATCCGCCGTATACTGAGGTAGGTTTTCGGGCGCAGGATCGTGTCGGGCATACGCCCCAGAGTGTGCGAAGAAGGTGGGGCGGACACCTCGGGATGGTGTGGCAGGAGCAGCGGCGGCAGAGCAGGCGGGCGGAACTCAGCAGCGAGTGAGCTTGAGAATGAGTGGGGAGGTTGCCGCCCTACGGATGCTCTGATGTTTGCTTTGCTGAACGCGGGGGCCGGGAGGCTGCTCGGATCTTGCTGAGCCGTGTTCCTCCTCCTCCTCTTCCTCCTCCTCCTCCTCCTCCTCCTCCTCCTCCTCCTCCTCCTACTCCTCACTGAGTTTACGAGAGACGATGAGGGGGGCACCGAAGGTCTCAACACTTTTTGTCTTGAAGGACTGCGTCGTCCTTCCAGCTGCTCGGGAAAACCGCTCGCTTCAAAGCTGAAGCCCTGGAGGCCGAATCATTGCTGACTACCTACCAAATCACCCCAACCCAACCCGAAGACCGGAATTCCGGGTTGGGGGGGGACAGGTTCCATACGTGTTTTTTCCATGTTCCCCGACACACACACCCCCACTGGAAATGAAGGGCAAATCGGGGCCTTCGTGTTGGGTAAGGGTAATTTGGTGGGCAGTGAATGGAACGCTGTCGGAGGCCAACTTATGAGAAACCATCGGAGGCCAGACTTACGCAACGGACCCGCACGATGGGTCTGGCTGGGGAGCGGCAGGCGGGAGGAACGGAGAAACCGCAGCAGGACGGGCCACAAGATGCAACACGATGCCAAGCACCCACAGCCGAACCGCAAGCCAGGGCCAGAGGGGAGGAGGGCCGCAGGGCAGCAACAGAAAAGCCTTCGGAGGCCAAGCAGCGGGGTACCACATGAGGCCACAGGAGGCAAAGCTCACACGGCCCGCGGCCAAGGCGAGCGAGGCGGGACCCCATGGTGAAATGCCTGCCAGCTAACGCGAGGCCGAAGGAGGCCAAGCACCACGGACGATCATGCAGCACAGAGCCAGCTCCTTCGAGAACACAAAACCGAACCCTTTGGTTGCAACCACTGTCGCCGTCGCAACCGACGCCGCTGTCGCCGTCGTCTTCGCCGTCGCCGCAGCCGCCATCGCCCTCGCCGTCGCCATCCTCGTCGCCGTCGTCGTCGCCGTCGTCGTCGTCGTCGCCGTCGCCGTCGCCGTCGCCGTCGCCGCCGCCGCCGCCGTCGCCGTCGCCGTCGCCGTCGCCGCCGCCGCCGCCGCCGCAACCGTCGTCACCGTCGTCGTCGTCGTCGCCCTCGTCGTCGTCATCGTCGTCGATCGTCGTCCTGTTTGGAGAACCAGCGTGTGTGTGTGTTGCTTATGATGCACTTCGCTTGAAAACATCCTTCGCGTGACACTCGGAGAGCCGCCAAAGGCCTCTGATAGCAGCCTGAGCAAGCCCCAAGCTCAGCGCCATACTGACGCATGACGAGCCGAGGGCCCTCTCGAGATGGTCCGAGAGCGGTTCTGGAGGTCTCCAGGACGGTCCGAAGACCGACCTAGCCGCCCCCAGGACGGTTCGATCGAGCCTCCTCGGGAGAACCCAATACAGCCATCGGGCCTGAGACTGCCATAAGAGCCTCAGCGCCCCCCGCCCGCCCCCCCCCCCCAAGAGGCCCCTCAGTTCCCCCAAGAGGCCCCGAATGTGCCTTGAGAAGGTAAGACGGCGGAAAAGGGGGAGGATATGTCACAGCCCAACACTTTCAGTCAATGGCGGAAGCGCCACCCGCCTCGGGGCCTCCTTTGCCCACGCGGTGGCGGAAGTGGTATCCTCCTCCTCCTCCTCCTCCTCCTCCTCCTCCCCCTCCTCTGCGTCGCGCCCCGGGAGCCCCACCCCCAGGGGCTTCCTGTGAGTTCCGCCCAGGAGCCCCCCTGGGAGCTCTGCCTCTGGAGCAGTCCACATAGGAGCACGCGCGCTGCAGTGCCCGCAGCAGAGGCGTAGGTCTTCGGATAATCCGATGATTGTAATAAGGCGACAGTTGGTTATTGGCCCCCCTCCGTGGCAGAGGGGGTCGTTGATAGACCCCCTCTGCGACAGAGGGGGTCGCGCTGCGTGCTGCGCGATTGATGATGATAGAAGTGACAGAATAATACATTGGCGAGATGGAAGATGGGGGCGAGAGAAGCAACATATTGAGAAAAGGAAGCGGCGACAGCGCGGACGACAGCGTGGAGTGAGAAGCAAAAAATGGAGGGGAGGCCATCGTTCCTTTTATCGCGCGCTGGGGCAACGATCTCCGAGCACGACTACGCGCGCGACGCGGCCCCGCTCACGATGCGCTGCCAGTCCCCTCGCCATTGCTGAGGGCCGCTTTTCGATCGATGATTCCCCCCCCCCGCTGTTGCGGAGGGGCGGCCGCTCTGCGATCGTTCAGCTCAACTCTGCCCAAGGGTTGGGGTCTGTGGAGCTTTGGCCTGGCGTGTTCGCGTCGTTCGGGTTGCGCTGTCTTCGGGGCACGTCGTGCCGTCCAGGGAAATACGCCCAGCGTCCTTGTGCATTTTAAGCTCGTACCTCGTTCAAAGTGTTCTCCAAGCGGCCAAAGGCCTCTGAGACTTGATGCAAGTCTTGCCTCGTTGGCAACTCGCTCCACTGGGTCTGTCGTCTGTCGTCGCGCCTGTCCCGTCGCTCCTGCCAGTTGCCCCAGTCGCGCCAGTTGACCCATCGCCCTTGCCAGTTGTCCCACCAGTCCTGCCCTGCCGCTCGCGGCCCCCACTGTTGCGGGGGCTCGCGCGGATGGTTTTGCAGTGCCCCCTCAAACTGGTGCTCTGGAACCCGTAGCCCCCGCTGATGCGGGGCGGGGGGCTCTAAGGTCTGCGGTTGCATCCCGTCCCCCTGCCGCGCCACAGGTGCAAGCGCCGGATGTGGCCATTGCTCTTGTTGACGCCACCTTGGGGGGGGGGGGAGGAGCTCCTCCTCCTCCTGCTCCTCCTGCTCCTCCTCCACCTCCTCCTCCCCCTTCCTCCCCCTCCTCCACCTAATCCTCGTTGTCCCCCTTCTCCGCCCTTCTCGTGCTCCTCCTCGTCGTCGTCGTCGTCCTCCCCCTCCTCTCTCCTTTTCCCCCCCTCCTCCTCCTAATTATCATGGTCCTCTTCCTCCTCCTCCTCCTCCTCCTCCTCCTCCTCTTCCTCTTATCCCCGTAATATATTAATCCTCCTCTTCCTCCTTGTCCTTATTCCTCCTCCTTCTCCTCTTTGTCCTCCTCCTGCCCCTCCTCTTCCCCATTTTTGTGCCCGCGCTGCTACCTTCCGTCGCCAACCGCGGGCCATTCGCCATTGAAGTCTACGGTTTCGTCTGCCCACCTGGGCCGCTGCGACGCATCTTGGGCGCCGTCGTGGCGCGCGTCGCTGGGGCGGTGCCGCTGTTCAAGCGCCGCGTCTCGCGCGGGTCGCTGGCGCCGCGTCTCGCGCGCGGGCTGGGGCTGCTCAGGCGCCGCTGCTGCGGCGCCCTCCAGCGCCGCTGCTGCGGCGCCCTTCTCTCTCTGGCTGCGCCTCTCCTTCTTCGCGTTCCTTCTCTCCCGCTCCCTGTCGTGCGAACGCGCGCTGGCCATCCGCATCTGGAACGGGAGAGGGTAATGCGCGCCGCCGTGCCACCGTCCATCCACTCCCACTGTTTCCACTGGGAACACTTTCTGCACTCCGCGGAAAAGAATGGTCTCGCGAGTGCTGGGGAAGCGGAAGTCTCCTCGAGCCTCTGCGTCGGCGCGCCTTTGTTTCTCTTGGGCCTTTGCTTGGATACGGCGGGGGGGATTCATCTGACAGGGTCAATGGATCCCGCTGGTGTTCGCGTGCATCTCTCTTCGGGCGGTAGCACGCGTGCGCCATCCCAGGGCCGCCTCCTTGTTTGTGGCGCCAGTGCGTCGGCTGCGAGGCCGCCGCTGTTGTGGCGGCCTCTGCCTTGCTGCTGTTCTTGTACCCACTGTCGCCGATCACCGACTGGGCTTTCCAGAGAAGCCCAGTCTCGTCTTTGTCGTGCACGGCAGACAGCGGCCAGCCCAAAGTGCATTCGCCTGGCCTGTTGAGAACGAAGATCCCGCAGCTATCCAAGCACGGGGTGCCGTCCAAGCCGCGCCAGAAGTACGTGGCTGCTGTCTCCACCTTCAAACCCAGCCCCCGCAGCTGCGGGGGCGTCTGCGTGAGCGCCACGTTGAAGTCCCCACAGAGGATGTCAACCTGGCACTCTTGCAGGATGCTTGCGAGCTTCGGCCACCACTCT